GACGGAGGATGAGGTGCCGCTGGTCAGTGGCAAAGAGAGGAAGGCGAAGGGATAGCCGTGAAAGGCGGTAGGTTTCTGGCGGGAGGGCCCGGGGTAAGGCCGGTGGGGAGGGCACGCGGGGATGCCGCTCTGGCCACGCGGAGGGTGGGCATCGCGATGGACAGGAGTCCGGGGCGCTGGCCTCAGCAGTTGGCTCTCCGCAGGAGGAGCTCAGCTCGGTGCCCTGGGCAGAGGTGCAGTCCCGCCTGCTGGCGCTGCAGAGGAGCGGGGGACTGTGCGTGCAGCCGAGGCCGCTGACGGAGCTGGACGTCCACCACCGCATCCTGCGCTACACCAACTACCAGGTGGCGCTGGCCAACAAAGGGCTGCTGCCCGCCCGCGCCGCGCTGCCCTGGGGCGGCGGCGCGGCCTTCCTCAGCCGCGGCCTGGCGCTCAACGTCGACCTGCTCCTCTTCCGCGGGCCCTTCTCGCTCTTCCGCGGCGGCTGGGAGCTGCCCGACGCCTACAAGCGCGGCGACCGGCGGGCCGCCCTGGCCGCGCGCTGGCGGCGCACGGTGCTGCTGCTGGCGGCCGCGAACCTGGCGCTGAGCCCGCTGGTGCTGGCCTGGCAGGTGCTGCACGCCTTCTACAGCCACGCCGAGCTGCTGCGGCGCGAGCCCGGCGCGCTGGGGACGCGCCGCTGGTCCCGCCTGGCCCGCTTGCAGCTGCGCCACTTCAACGAGCTGCCGCACGAGCTGCGCGCGCGCCTGGCCCGCGCCTACCGCCCGGCCGCCGCCTTCCTGCGCGCTGCCGCGCCCCCCGCGCCCCTGCTGGCGCTGCTGGCCCGCCAGCTCGTCTTCTTCGCCGGCGCGCCCTTGGCCGCGCTGCTGGTGCTCACCGTGTACGACGAGGACGTGCTCGCCGTGGAGCACGTGCTCACTGCCATGACCGCGCTCGGGATCGCGGCCACCGTGGCTAGGTGCGATGGCAGAGGGCCGGGGAGGGCGGGGGGGCCCTTCCTCAGTCCTGGGTTGGAGCCTCCTCGAACCCCTCCCTCTCCCCTCCCCCCCCCCGCTAGCGTACCCCCACCCCACCCCCCGCACATCCTCTGAACCGCAGGCCGCCTTCTTTCCCCACTCCGATCCCGCCCTCTAGGTCTTTCATTCCGGATGAGCAAGGCCAAGGTTGTTCGCCGCAGCTCCTGCTGCAGGCGGCCTTGGCCCACATGCACTACCTCCCCGAGGAGACCGGCCCTGCCGGCAGGACCAGCTCTTACACGCAGATGGCGCGGCTGTTGCAATACCGAGCGGTGAGGGTCACGCCGGAAGCCGGGCTGCGGAGGCTTTTGTTTGCCCTCGGATGTCTGAGGGAGGCCCCCCGGAATGACGGGGTAGGAGGTTGCCTGCCAGGCGAGTCTGGTTGCCCTCCGAAAGGCCTTCTCAGCCTCGGGCCTGCTTTCTCCAGGTCTCCCTGGTGGAGGAGCTCCTGTCCCCTGTCCTCACGCCCTTGTTTCTGTTCTTCTGGTTTCGGCCCCGGGCCTTGGAGATTATCGATTTCTTTCGGCACTTTACTGTGGACGTGGCGGGGGTCGGCGACATCTGCTCCTTTGCCCTCATGGACGTGAAGCGGCACGGACATCCTCAGGTGGGAGCCTGTCCCGGGCGGTGCGGGGCAGGTAGGTTGGGTAGGCGTTGGCTTGCCTCACTGGAAGCAGAACTGAGTTCCACCCCCACCTTCACTGCTTGGCACCTGTGACCTTGAGCGCCCCCGTTCACTTTCCTGAGCCTTCATTTCTCAAATGCGGGCAATGACTAGCCAGTGCTCAGGCCTCTTAGGATCACTTGAGATGACAGGTGGAGAGCCCTAAGAGGGTGCCCAGCACCGTCACAGCAGTAAGTGGGAGCGCAGACCACTGGAGAGAAACGCCTCGGTCAGTGGACGGGGCTGGGGTACGGACGTGTTTCCTGACCAAGGCCGTCGGGCCAGTCGTATCTAATGCGTACAGGCCGGCAAAACACTGAGCCCACATCATCTGCTAGCGCTGGGTCTGGACCTGGGTCCTGCTCTCCGGCTGTGTTTTTTTGGCTGATCTTGAACTTGTCCCCTTGTGGCCTCCATCCTTTCACCATGGGGCTAGTGTTTCCTGTCCTGCCTACCCCACGAGGCCCCCACTGCAGCTATCCAAGTGGAGTTGGCTGGAATTCCCTGGTGGCCTAGTGGTCAGGCTTTAGCGATTTCACTGCCAGGGCCCCCCGTTCAGCCCCTGGTCGGGGACCTGAGATCCCGCAAGCTGTGCTGCCTGATGCTGGCAGCACCTGACGGGCCGTCGTTCCTTTCAGTGGCTCTCCGAGGGACAGACCGAGGCCTCACTGTCTCAGCGCGCCGAGGACGGGAAGACGGAACTCTCCTTGATGAGGTTCTCCCTGGTTCACCCACAATGGCGCCCCCCAGGCCACAGCTCCAAGTTCCTGGGGCACCTGCGAGGCCGGGTGCAGCAAGACGCAGCCGCCTGGGGCGCCAGCTCGCTGCGCAGCCCCCCTGCCCCCGGGATCCTCAGCACCTCTCCGTCCCCTCTGGTGCGTCGGAGCTAGGTCTGCCCGTCTGCCCTCCTGTCCCCACCACCCTTTGCCTCACCCCTCTATTAACCTGCTCACTGGTGCCGTCTGCTCTCCTGCCTTCCTAGACCTCCTCCCTCCTCCTCTTTTGTGACCCTCTCTCCTCTCGCTCCCAGCCGGAGGCCTTCCTGGCCAACCTCTTGGTGCAGCCCCTCCGGCCGCCTCAAGACCTCAGCCCTACAGCCCCCTGCCCGGCCGCAGCCACGGCCAGCCTCCTGGCCTCCCTTTCCCGAATTACCCAGGACCCAAGGTGAGGGGTGGGGGCCTGAGATGCCCGGAGCAAGAGGTGGGGCTGATCCTCCAGGAGAAGGGGCACTGGAGTGGGGGGGTTGTGATGTGGAAGGGGATTTGAAGCCAGGTTCTCCCTGGGGGAATGTGTGTGTCTTCATGATCAACCGCGCCCTCTGTTCTAGCTGTGTGTCCCCGGGAGGCACTGGGGGCCAGAAGCTGGCCCAGCTCCCAGAGCTTGCATCTGCTGAGATGAGTCTCCATGCCATCTACCTGCACCAGGTGAGCAGAGGGTTTGCCAAAAAGAGAAGGGGAGGGAGAAGGCAGCTGAACAAAGTGGAGAGTGTGGAGGGGGCTGGAGTGTAAGGAGTTACTCAACAGGAGCTGGGGGAGGAGGTGTCGACAGTCTCTGTTCCTGGCCTGGGGCTGGGCCTCACAATGTGGCGGGAGGGAGGCCTCTCATCTTCTCCCTTCTGTTTAGCTCCATCAGCAGCAGCAGCAGCAGGAACTATGGGGCGAGGCTTCAGCCTCCCCCCTGTCCCGGCCCTGGCCCAGCCCCCCACAGACCCTCTCTCCAGATGAGGAGAAGCCGTGCTGGTCCAGTGACGGTGAGGCGGTCAGGGTGTGCAGGGGACAGATGCCAGGGAGCCGCGGGCATCATGGCACCGCCCAACTGATGGCATTTCTCACTAGGCTCCAGCCCCGCCTCCAGCCCCAGACAGCAATGGAGAGCCCAGAGGACCCAGAGTTTGTTCCCTGGAGGGCTTCAGGAGCCCACAGACACCCAGAAGGAGCCTGGCCAGGCCACAGGCACTGACTGAGTGGGCTCCTCGGGGTCAGTATTGTCTCACGGGGGTGGGGGAACGGGTAGGACATCGGGTGGTGTTGGACTTGGAGGGGCGGGAACAGTGGTGGGAATTTGGGGTGACCGGGTGGTCATCTCTGGAACCTGAACCCCTGGACTACTTGCCAAGAGCTTTTCCTCCCCCAGGCTCCCTGGCTTCTCCAGTCACAGGAGATCGGGCGAGGTGGAGTGGAAAGGCATGCCGAGCCCTCTTTCAAGATCCCCACGAATGCTTTAGTTGGGCCGGACTTGGGAGTCATTGACGAACTCGCCCAGAGAACAGAGAAACGGTAGGAGAGGAGCTGCCCAAGGCCTCAGGAAACACGTCTTGGAGACATTCCCCACATAGGGGGCTAAGGGACAACTGTCGGTCCTGGAGCGGCGGCCCGGGAAGAAGTTACCAAGTGACCTCATGCCGGTGGACAGGGCCAAGGTAGAGGCCAAGCTACACATCAGGGAGCGAAGGGGGACAGGACCTGAAAGGCAATAGGTGCTCAGATTCATCTGGCCCTTAGGTTCCCATGGGACTGGTGGAAGGGCATGGGGACCGTGAGCGGAAAAGACTAGAGGGGCCTGATGTGTTTGGAGTTCATGGCGGTGTGACGTCTGAGAAAGTGGCTGTGGGGAACCATCAGTGAAGGTTGCTCACAGCTGTGCTGCTCATCTTTGTGACCTTAGTCCTGGACTCCCCACGCTTGGCAGCCAGGGCTGTCCCGGCTTCTTGTCAAGATCAGGGAAGCCACACTGGAGAACTGCCTGCACCTGGCTGGAAACCAGTTTTCTACAGGGCAGGGGTCAGAGAGGAATGTGTGGGACAGGACTCCTCCGTCCAAGAGTTACCACCCCAACACCATGTGCACAAGTTAAAAGACAAAGCTTGTCATTATTCTGTAACTGTAATTGACAGCGCTGGCTTAGGCATCTTAGTAGGTCTCCTAACTTCTGGTCCAGTCTCTTATGGTAAATCTTCAATAATAAATATTTGAATGATTTAGAGATCAGGTTTCAAGATAAAATACTTCAGAGAGAGGCGAGGGGAATCTAAAATTCACCTAAACACCAAAGGGCTGACTGCAGGCTCTGGAATACCGCTGCTGGGAGGGGTCTTCCAGATAGACTCAGACTTAGGTTGGGGAAACTGACCCAGAGATGAGAGGATGAGATAGTACAGGGGATGCGAACAGTCTCCGTAGACTCTGGACAGACGGTGAGAGGTCACCTCGGGAGGAGAGGGAGAAGTGGCCGGTCCCGGTAAGGCCGACAGGACAGCGGTAGAGCCGTAGTGGAATGACAGCCCCTCTCTCCGGGAACTGCAGTGGGAAGCAAGAGGGGTCTCAGGGGCTGGGGGTGTCTGGGCCGGGCGGGTCGAAGGCCCAGGGCACCGCGCCCCGCAGATGCCGCTCCTGCAGGGAAAAGCTCTGGGTGCGTATGCGGCTTGTCACCTCCTGGGTGCGCAGCGTGAGGCCGAAAATGTCCTCGTGATAGCGTTGCTGATCCTTGGAAGGAAAGAGGGCGGAGGATCAAAACACCGGTGGAAGTGTGGGGCGGAAGTCGGCCCCGCCTCCGCCTGGCCCCGCCCCTGCCCGGACATGGCCCCACCCCCGTCCGGGTCTGGCCCCGCCCCTGTCCGCCTGCCCCGGCCCCGCCCCTCCGCACCCGCAGCACGCCGATGACGTCGCCGGCCTCGTCCAGCTCCATGTCGCCCTCTGTCGCCAAGATGCGCTGCACCGTCTGCAGGACGCTGGTTGCCATAGTGACGTCGCCGCAGACAAACATGTGGCCCCGCTCGAGGCACAGCACGCGGTGCACCTCGGCAGCCAGCTCGGTCCTCAGGATGTCCTGTACGTAGGTCTGAAGGGGAGGCGGGGTTAGGGGCGGACCCCTGCGGGGCCCGCGGAGCGAAGGGCAGGTCCCCAGGGAGCGGGGAGGGCGGCCGGGTCCTGGGTGAGAAGAGATGACCTGGGCGCCAGGTGGGGCCCAGGTGCGCGGGACGGGAGAGAAGGAGCGGAGCGAGGGGCGCGGCTTGGGCGAGGGTGAGCGGGACCTAAAGGGGGCCCAACGAGCCGATCCGGGTGGGTCTCAGAGCCCAGCTGGAGCGGACGGCGGTTCTTCCTCCGTCCCTAGCTTCGGGTTACCCCAGCACCCTCAGGGTCCCGCACCTTGGGGCTGTCAGGTTCCCGGGAGAAGGCGGTGAGGACGCGGCCAAACACCCCGCGCTGCTGGGCGTCCTGCACCTCGTCGCGGTAGAGATGGTCGAGCTGGGAGCACCGGCACCCGAACACCAGGGTCATGGGGGCGGGCTGCAGACCTGCGGACATCACTGTGGCTTGAGAGCGCCCCCAACCCCTCCTGGGAGACCCAGCCCCAGGGACACCTCCTACTGGCTTCCCTCACTCAGGCCGACCGCCCACCCTTTCCTGCAGAAACCACCACTCTCCACTCTTTAGCCTCTAGGAGAGGGCTAGGTGTTTTCACAGACGCTGCCTGGGCCTGATTTACAGAGAAGCCCAAGGTCACAGGAGGTGATGACTTCTCTCTGACCAGATGGCCAGTGGTGACACTGTGCTACAGCTGGGCTTTCTGACCCAGAATCTGTGCCCTTGGGACCAGGTAACCCTGCGGCCTGAGACAACCGGCCCTTCCCTGCTCTGACCCCACGTTCTCCCACACCTTCAGCTTCTGCACTCTGCGCCTTCCTCTTAGTCACAAGCCCCCTTTCATTTGATTGGCCAGCTTCCCTGGGCACCCCGTACCCAATCTGAGCACCCTTCAGCTTCCTGGAATCTCAGACACAGTTGACCTCTGACACAGTCCACCTGGGGCATTTCCATCTTCTGAGTCCCAGCCCTGTCTTCTCCAGGCTTCCAGGTTCCCTTTGTCCTTAATTCAATCCAATGCTACTTTGCTGGGCTAGCCAGACCTACAGGGCACTACTTTTGTCTCTAGGAAGCCCCCACCCCCGGTCTAGTAAACTTCACCTTTGTAGTCCTGTTTCTTGCCCTGTTTCCTGCCTTTCAGCATCCTGCCCCTTGGTCCCCCTAAATTGTGTGACTCCCTCCTGCCTTCCGGTCATTCCCTTGGGTCCCCGGCCTCACCTTTGCTCTCAATGTCATGCAGCCTCTCCTGCCAAAATCCCCGGAAGGGGGCAATGCCAGTGCCGGGGCCCACGAGGATGCAGGGCACGTAGGGGTCAGGTGGCAGCCGGAAGGAGGGAGCCCTGGCCAAGACACCCTCCGTCAGGCCCCCTTTGTCCCCCCAGACCCCCCACTCTTACCAGCCTCGGCAGGGTGGAGAGAGGAGAACTTAACCTGCTTGCATCTAGCTTATAGTGAGCATGGTGTGTTTAGTAAAAGCACTCTCCGTATTGGCAGAGACTCCCTGGACCTGTGGTTTCTGGAGGTTGCGTCAAAGGAAATAAAGCTCAAGTTTGAACTGAAGAACGTTTTGATGTTTCAGTTTAGAAGATACAGAAAGTATGGGGAAGGGAAGGGCAGACAGCCTTTTGGTTCATAATGACTTCACTGAGTGTATTTGAAGCCACAGCCTCGATATTGGCATTTGGTTTGTGTTCACTAGATGGGCAGTTTATTTGTAATGTGGTCTGCCAGATGGGTTCTGGTCACTGTCCTGGCTGGTGCATCCTGGGAACTCTTGCTTGTGCCACCTTAGGCCTCCAGCTCCTGGGTGCTGGATGGGGCAAGACTTCTGGACACAGCAGGGAGGGAAGGGTGTCCTCAGATCCTTCACTTCCCTTGAGTTCTCACTGGCACTATGGTGAGCTAACTAGTTCTCCCCGGACTAAAGGCGGGTGGAGCACAGTTCCCAGATACCTGCCTGCCAACATCCGATGGACCCCAGGGATGTAGGGAGGGACATGGTACCCCATCTAAAAGGGACAGGGCCTGCTGGGGTGGGATCCCAGTCCGTTCCTGGGAGCTGCAGCTTCAAGGTAGGACCTGAAGTCCAAATCAGTGAGAGGCCCAAAGCTCAGCCAGAGTTGTGAGGTGGCTTAACTGGATGCCCTGTCCTGGTTGGGTTAAGCAGGGCCTGCCTGCTTCCACTCATACGCTCCAGCAAGGCTTCTCCCCCCTTCCCCGTGCAACCGGCCCATCCATCTGTCCTCAGGCCATCCGTGTGGTGCCGTGCCCACCCCGGCTGGACAGACGCCCTCCTCCTCCCCGTGCCCCTCCCATGTGCCCCCCCCAAGTGCTCACTCACCCCCTGATAAAGCAGGGCACGGGGTCTCCAGTCTTGAGCTGGCTCAGCCACGTGGAGCAGACCCCGTAGTGTAGGGGGCCCAGCCCGTCTAGGGGGTATGGGGGGAGGGGGCAGTCGGTGAGGGATCTGCACCCCCCCACCCTGCCCCAGGGGTCCCTGCGGGGGCCCGGCCCCGCCCCCCCGCCCCCTGCCTCACCTTGGGTCCTGTACGCCAGCACGGCCACCGTGAGGTGGACCTCTCTGGGGTGGGCGCTGGGGGCCGAGCTGACGGAGTAGTACCTGGGCTGCAGCAGGGGCAGCTGGGTGAGGAGCAGCGGGGCGGGCAGCGCCACAGACGGGAACTGCTCCAGCACCTCCAGCAGCGTGGGGCAGCGGAACCACTTCCACTCCTCGTAGCGGCGGGGGTCCTGGCGGGGCGGGCGGCAGTGAGCTCGGCACCTGCCTCCTGTCCACCTCCCTTCTTGACCCCTCCTGAGCTGAGCCTCCTGGGCGGGGGGCTTCTCGCCCTTCAGGTGGGGCCACAAACATTTCTCCAGCACCTTCCACGTGCCTCTTTAAGGCCAGAGAATTCAGAGATGAATAGGAACTCCAGAGCTGTGGGGGCGGGTCTTAGACCTTCAGGACTTTCACCAGGGGTCCCCCACCCCGCAGCTCATCACATCTCACGGGCCCCTGCTGCCCCATCGGGGGACGGGGGGGCTCCCGACCTGACTGAGGGTCTCGAGCTCCTGCTGCTCGCTGGGTTCTTCAGCCAGGGTGCTGAGCAGTCGGAGAAGCCGGGGGCTGGGCGGGGAGGTGATGTCCAGGAAGAAGGTGAGAGCCTGGCGCAGCGTGCACGGGGGCAGCCGTGGGTCCCGCACCCAGCTGGGAGGCGGGCCGCCTTGGGGTGGGGGCAGGCATGAGGAAGCGCTCAGAGGACGGGGCCACGCTGGGCCTGCCTTGTCCGGGGTGACAGCTGCTTCTCGGGGGAGGACATGGGGACTGACCACAACTTATGGTGTCATTGGAGGGCTGGCTCTTGGACAGCGAGGTGGGCCTGTCTGGGCAGCCCGTGTGTGTGTGTGTGTATGTGTGTGTGTGTGTGTGTGTTTGAGGGCCCCTGCCTCTCCCCCACTCATCTTATTGTAGACCTGGTGCCAGCTACAGAGCAGGCTAGACTGCTGGGGACGGGGATGGGCCCAGAGGGAGGGGTGGCCTTTTGTGGGGGTTCTGGGGGTGGGTTTGAGAAAGGACCCACGATCCACGCAGGTAGCACAGTGGCTGTGAGGGGGGGCTGCAGCAGCCTTCCGTCGGGTCCTGACCCTGAGGGGACCCTCGCTGGCCCCCTCCACCCCCGCCCCCAGACGGCCCCTCACCTGGGCTGCCCTTTTCCAGCTGCTCCACGGCCACAGACTCGGCGGGTGGTGGTGGGTCCTCCACGCGGCTCAGCAGCGCCTCCACGAGGCCGGGCCGGTTGGGCGGGCAGATGCCTATGTGGTCCCCCGGCTGGTACTGCAGCCCCTCCTGGCCTGCAGTGTCCAGGCGCACCAGGATGGTGGCCCGGCTGGGGTGGGGAGAGGGGGAAGTTACAGGAGGGCTGGGGGTGAGGCGGGGGTGCTGGGGTCTGGGGAAGGAGGGGTGGGCGGGTGAGGGTGGGGAGTGGCCCTCCTCACGTGGACTTGCTGCTTTGCAGGTTTTCCACTGAGAGGACTGTGGCCTGAAACATCTTCCGTCTGTGCACGTGGACCAGGCCTGAGGGGCAGGGGTGGGGGGGAAGCAGACGAGACTGAACCCGAGCCAGGGACTCAGGCCTGGCCCCCGCGTCAGTGGGTCCGGGGCCCCCTGGAGCCCAGCGGACCGGCAGGGTCAGGGTGAGGTCGGGCCCCACCTGGCAGCAGCTGGAGGCCCTCGGCCTGGGCGCTCAGCCGGTACCTCTGGCGTTTCCAGCTCCGTTTGGGGCTGAAGATGTCCTGGGCGGCGGCCTTGGCCTCCTCCCCGACGCAGAACGTCTCGCAGGAGGCCTGGGGGTGAGGAGGTGAGTGTTGAGGACCCCCGGCCGCCAGGGAGGCCCGAGCAGCAGGGAGGTCCGCGGGGCTGATGAAGAGCCCGCTGGACCCTCGCCACCCCCCAAACAGTCTGACGGCACCTGTCCTTCAGCCCCCTTGGTGCCGCTGTGCTGGCTACTCTTTGGCACGTATTTGCGTCACACCCACTCGGTAGTTAACCTGGTGAGTGTTAATCTCATGTTGCAAGAGGCACAGAACTCCGTGCACACAGCAAGTAGCCCTCGGCGAGGGCGTCTGTGTGTTCAGACCCGAGGTCACAGTCTGAGTCCTAGACTGAAAGTGAAAGAAAGTGAAGTCACTCAGTTGTGTCTGACCCTTTGTGACCCCATGGACTGGAGCCTATCAGGCTTCTCCCAGGCTCCTCCGTCCATTGGGTTTTCCAGGCAAGTATACTGGAGTGGGTTGCCATTTCCTTCTCTAGGGGATCTTCCTGACCCGGGGATCGAACCCAGGTCTCCTGCTTTGTAGGCAGCCGCTTTACCGGCTTCACCGTCTGAGCCACCAGGGAAGCCCAGGGATTCCTAGACTAACAGCTTGCAAGCCTCTGGTTCCCAGTCTTTACACACCTTAGAGTTGGCTGAAGATGAAATGAGAAGCTTAAGTAAAGCCCTTAAGCGCTTCTGGAGTGGGCGCAGAATGGGAGGGGTCTCTGGCTGGCCTGCACTGCACACCAGGGGCTGCAGGGGGGGCGGGGCCTGGGGAAGGACCCCTGGGAGGGTGTGTATCCTATTTGTTTCTGCTCAGGCGCAAGCCTGGCAAACCACTTAGCCCTTAGTGTGAAACCTATGGCTCATCCAGGATTGGCTGCCGCCTCCCCTCCCACTCCTATCACCAGTCCTGTTAATCTTTCTTTTGTGTGTGTAAAGTCTTATATCTCTTCCTTCCTTCCTTGGCCCCCTCCCTTCCTTCCTACCCCCCCCCCCCCCCATCTGCTCAGAGCCTTCCTGCTTCTGTCTGGATGCTCCTCCTGTTGGCCCTGCCTTTCTAGGCACTGTCCGCCAGCCTCGTGCCGGCTCCCCCCTTCTCTCCTCGAGCTCCCAGCTTCCTGTCACTTCTCTTCGTCTGGATTCTTTACTCCTGTTTTCCATTCCTTCTTCTCCTCCCCAGTGAGGGCTTCCCTGGCAGCTCAGATGGTAAAGAACCGCCTGCAAACCAGGAGACCCGGGTTCCATCCCTGGGTTGGGAAGATCCCCTGGAGAAGGGAATGGCAACTCAAGGGTATTCTTGCCTGGAGAATCCCATGGACAGAGGAGCCTGGCGGCCTCCAGTCCATGGGGTCACAAAGAGTCAGACACGACTGAGTGACTAACACTCTCCTCCCCATTAAAGCCTCCATCTGTGCTGGCCGGCCCTCCCCACCCCTCCTCCTGGGGAGCCCACCTTCCTGGCCATTAGTCCAGGCCTGCTGAGCTCAACCTTGGGAACCCTGGCGGGGCCACCACTGCCAGTCCGTATCAGGACTGGGAGAAGGATCCTTGCTCAGCTCCAGGCGTGGTCCCGAGACCAAGCAGGGCTGCTCTGGAGGAAGCCCAGGCTGAGAAAGTCCTGTCTTGTCCTCCCCTCGCCCAGGAACCCGCTCTGGCCCAGGCACCACCCCAAGCCTGTCTGGCCCCTGACACCCTGTAGTTTCTCAGCTTCAACCCTTGCCTCTTCCCTTTTCCCTCCATCCTGCCCTGCACCCACCCAGGAGAGGGAGCAACCTGTGCCTGCCCGAGGTGCCCGCCTGCCTGCTGGGGCCCTGGCCGCTGCTTCCCGTGCCGTTGGGGCCATGCCGTCCACCACTACTACTCAGGACTCAGCCAGAAGGGCTGGCTGTGCAGCGGGGCGAAATATGAAGGTGGATTTTGGAGGAGCAGGAAGGGGCCGGAGTTCCCAAAGAGTCAGGGCGGCAGTGAGGCCTTGGCTTCCCCTGTGTGGCAGGTCTCGGGGGTGGATGGAATGAGTCAGCATTGGAGTTGGAGGGGTGGCGGGAGTTGGGGGGCTCACCTGGAAGGCCGCCTTTGCCCAACCACGGAAGGCCTCCTCCTGGCCACAGAGCTCGTCGCCCTGGCCCAGCTGCAGCAGCCGCTCCCCTCCCAGCTCTTCCAGTCGGGTGTCTACCGCTCGTGCGAAGGCGCAGAAGTGGGGGTATGCCCGGGAGCCCAGTCCAAACACACAGAACCTGCGGTACCAGGAGGCATCAGGGCAGGCCCCCTCATCCTCACCCCGGTGCCCAGGCAGCTCGCCACCCCGCCACCCCCCCACACCCAGCAGAGCTCCCCTTGCCGAGGCCCCCCGGACCTGAGGGTCCCCAGCGCCCCCGCGCTGTCCGTGTTGCTGGACTCCTTTCTCTTCCGCCGCCAGGAGGACACCAGCGGGTCTGAGCAGGAGACGCTGTTGAAGCGGATCTTGTAACTCCTGCAGGAGACGAGGGGACAAGGGTGTCACAGGGGAGGAGACAGGACAGGGCCTGGACACCGCCCGGGGGCAGCTTCAGGGGCTCTGCCTCCTTGGTGCTTGGGGGGTGGCTTGGCTTCGTGGCTGAGGGCCCGTGTCCAGGGGTCCCTGAGCCCTAGGCCCCGCCTCCCCTCCTCTCTCTGCAGGAGACGGGCCCCTCAGAGTCCCCAGAACTGAAAGTGGGCATGTCACAAGGAAGAGGGTGTCCTGAGGCTGCAGGGGGTGGGAGGGCCCAGGCCTGTGCTCAGCTGTCCTCCAGCTTGTTGGGAGGCTGACTTGCAGCCCAGAGAGGGGACTCTGTAGACCCCCTTTCCTTTCGTGTCTCCAAATGCCTCCCTGTCCCCTCCCCTCCCTCCCCCCTCAACTCACTTGTGCTGTTCTGGCCTTGGGGAGCTGTTGTAGGGCCCTGACATCTCCATCAGTGCAGCTGCAAAACTCTGGGGAGGGCAAGTGTTGGCATCGGGATTAGTTTTATTTCAGACTGTACAGAAGCTCATACTGCACTGGAGTGGTCCCTGTTATTATTAGTTACACTTTTAATTTTTAATTTGCTTTTAACATTTCAAAAAAGAGGTATGGGCTTTTGGAAAACATTACAGAAGCATGTCAAGTAATAAAATAGAAACCTACCCTTCCCTTCCCTCCAGTCTCATCCATCAGAGCAGGTGTACCACGGACAGCTGTTACACTATCTAGCCCCCTTTTCGTTGTGCCTAATATATGTCTGTATTTATAGTTTATTTATTTATTTGGCCATGCCACATGGTTTGCAGGATCTTAATTCCTCAACCAGGGGTTGAACCTAGGGTCCCCCGAGGTGAAGGCACTGTGTCCTAACCACTGGATTGCCAGGGAAGTCCCTAGTTTTCCTTTTAATTGAAAATGGGACCATATTATACTTACCTGCTTTTTGTCAATAACTTATCGTGTGTGTCCTTCATGTTCACACACCAACACTGATCTCAATCTTTTAAATGACGACACAGCATCCCATCATTTGTAGGTACCATTATGTATGAGACCTGCCTCTGATAGGGACATCTGGATGGTCTATGAACAATGCGCAAACACTCATATGTGCCTGCTTTCTCCTTTGCATATTTCAGGAGGGTGTTCCTTGGACGTGGACTTTCTGAGCCAGGATTTGAAAACTCGATGGGTCATCAAATCGTCCTCCAGGATCCTGTCCATGCTGGAGGTGACCACTCCGTAATGCTTCAGCCAGTTTGATAGGTGGAAAACAGCTCTCAGTCTCCCTGTGTTGTCCTGATCACTAGCAGCTCTAACACCTTCTAGAAAGCTGAGCTGTTATCACGTGCTGCCACGGAAACAGCTTAGAACTACACGTGCCAACCTTTGCACAGGAAAAAACAAATCGCGGCAAGGCCATAACATCCCGGGATCCACTGCAGATGCATTTAGGTGGTGGATCTACAAGTTCACCTCAATTAGCATGTGCTACTTTAATTTTATTTTCTGAACATTTTTTTTTTTTAATGTGTATACGTGTTCCCCATCCTGAACTGAACATTTTCTTGAAGTATAATGTACCCACAGAAAAGCATCCATGTTATAAATGCCTGGCTTTATAGCTTTTCACAAGCTGAACCTACCTGTGTAGTCAGCATTCCATCAAGAAACGTCACCAGCGTCCTAGAAGTCACCTTTGGGTGACCTAACCCCAGGTACTCCCCCACTTCCTGCCCTGGGGTCACCACCTGCTCTCCTGATTAAAATACCAGAGACATGTTTTCCCTGTTTCTAAACTTGGTACAAAGTGAATCTGAATGTCTGATTCTTTAGTGTCTGGCTTCTTTCCCATTACGTGATGTTTGAAATTCATCTGTTTTGTTTGTGTGGTTGTAATTTGTTCACCCTCATTGATGCATCGCATTTGAATAGACCTCGATGTATTTTTCCCATCTGTGATTGAGAGTCATTTGAATTGTTTCCAATGTGGGAATACCATGAGGAGTGCTGCTATTAATACTCTTGTTCATGTCGTTAGTAAATATATGCCACTTTCTGTGGGGCAAATTCCTAGGTTTCCTCCATTAAAAAAGGAATTTGAGGTAAAAATATACATATATTGAAATGCACGGAATTTAAGGGTGCAGTTCAAATCGGTTTGGCCACTGGGCAGTTTCAAAGTTAGATAAATGTCTACCCAGTGACCCAGCAGTTCCACTCCTAGGTATTTATCCAAGAGAAACGAAAACATAAGGCCACAAAAGCCTTGTACAAAACTGTTCATAACAGCTTTATCCACAATAGCCAAGTGCTGGAAAACAGCCCAGGTGTCCATCAGCAGGGGAGCAAAGAAATAAACTGTTCACGCCCCCGAGATGGACAGAAATGAACCCCTGAATCGTCCAACAGTGAGATAAGCCTCCAAAGTAGGGTGGGTGAAAGAAACCAGACATGGCATGCCCCTTTTCCGTGACCTTCTAACGCAGAGGACAGGAATCAGGACGGGGGTTGCCTTTGGTGGAGAGACTGGTAAGCGGATTGATTCGGGGAGTTGACTAGGGGCCTTTCTAAGTGCTGGGAATGTTCTCTGTCTCTATAGGAGACAGGATCGTGGGTCCCACGGATGCAAACATGACTCTCACCCTAGAAACAGCTGGTGAGTGTGTTTTTTTTTAGAAGGGAGGTTGGACGCAGGACTGAAGGGGCAGCGTGGTGGGGGAGAAGCCCTCTGCGGGCATCCTGCTCTAGGGGACTTGAGGTGTAAGTGCGAAGAAGACATCTAAAAGCAGGAGCAGACAAGAGCTCTGGAAAGGAATGCAGCTGGGGGGTGGCCGAGACCTGGAAGCAGGGAAGGTAAGGGTTAATAGTCAGGTATCCGGCCCATGGGACGCTAGTTGGTTTCTTTCAAGATTTGTTCAGAAAGTGAGCTCACGTAATTTCTGTTAGCATCTGAGCAGTGGTCTTTTCTTTTGTTAAGAAAGGAAGAAAAGACAAAAAGCTGAGGTCTCACTCTAGCTGCTGCCTTTCCCATCTGTCAATGCCTGCCCAGTCAGGAAGTGCCTCCCGAGTGTGAAACGCTTGCTCTGATAGTGGAAGTGACACGACTCAGGGCCCTGCCCAGCACCTGCAGCTCTGAGTCTCCCCGATCCCCAGGCAGGCCTCACCTCTCCGTTCTCCGGGGGGTCGCCGTTCCCGAAGGTGCTGGTCACTACCAGCACCAGCGCCTCGTGCTCCAGGGACACCACGTCATATGCATCCATGCACAGGACCTGCGGGCGGGGGGGACGGGTGTCCTGGGCTCCGCCGCCGCCGTCTGCTCTACTCTAGTCCTCCCGGCAGGGCGGACTCAGCCCCTCACGTGAGCCCTGAGTCCCTGAGGGTCCTGGGCTCCTCGCGGACCCTGGCTGTGGCCTGCTCCCGTTCTCCAGCGTGTGAATGAGGATAGGGCCAGGACCATCCCCGACCCCGACCCACCACTTCTTTTCAGACCCTTGCCCACTGGGCTCAGCCCTACCCGGGGGTCGAAGGCCTTCCGGAAGAGCCTCCCCAGCTGCTGAGCGTAGCTCTGGGCCCGGCCGGTCTCAGAGGCATATAGGATGGTCGCCTTCACTCGCTTGGCCATCAGGGTGCCCATGAGTGAGGCAGAGATCTTCACCGCGCTGTGAGCAAGGAGGGGATGAGGGGGTCCCAGGCGCACAGAGCCAGGGGCCTCCCTATGAGAGCAAGGTCTCGGCAGGTTTGCAGGGGCGGTGTGCCCAGACCACTGATGCAGGGGGTGGGGGTGGGGTGCCGCGGGGGGCGGTCCCCTGGGGTGTGGGGGAAGGGCAGCCCCCAGCGGGGGTGGGGGGGCACCTACTTGGCCACTTCCTTAAAGGTCTTCTTCCTGGTGATGCCGGTGCCCTTGGCTGAGCTCCCCTTCCAGGGATCTGGCTGCAGGGGGATGAGGAGGGGCGGGAGTGAGCGGGGAGAGGAGAGAAGAAAGGGAGGTTGGAGGCCCCTGGCAGCTGCTCCGTTAGAGCTGGCGGAGTGGGCAGCAGCCAGTCTGGGGTGCGGTGGGCACCTGATAGTGGAAGGCAGGGGACAGGACGTAGTTGACCATCTCCTGGTGGAAGACGGGCGTGAGGCTGCCGGAGATGGGGGGCACGATCCAGGCCCAGTCGGCGGGGCAGCCCCCCCTGGCCTTCTGCTCGTTCTCCAGGTGCTTCATGAAGGACACAGTGGCGGCGTGGTGGTCCACGATGGTCACCTTGGCGAGCTGGGGTGAGGGGTGGGTGGGGCTGAGACCCAGGCCACAGACCCGCACTCCTGTCACTCACCCCAAACCTGACACACATGGTCTTTCCTGAGCCAGCGTCACCCTCTGCCTAGGGCGCACGTGGTCCTGCTACCAAGTCAGCAGCAAAAGCAGCAGCTCTGATCTGCGACGTCTATGTGCCCGTCTTGTCCCCACCCGACACATCAAGATAGCCGAAGCTCTCGAGAGCCCGCAGAAGTACTCTGCAAACCCTGGTTTCCTCAAATTATAACGCTCAGCCTGCAATCGATCCTAGAATTAGAGTTTCCAGACTAAAGTGCAAAGCCCAGAAGGCCCCCGGGGAGCACAATTACAGGGCACGTGCCAATCGGCTGGGTTCCCGTACCGGGACCACCGGCCCAGGCACTCAAAGCCTGTGACTCCAACCCCTGCCCGCTTTCTGAGTGGCTCCCTCTTTTCCAGCCCCACTCCCGTGCACACCTGGCCCATCAGGGCCCGTGTACCTGATAGCTGTGGAGCACAGCCAGGTTGATTTCCACGGCCGCCTTGTCCTTCCACAGGGACGAGGTGGTCCGGGTGTCGAGGTCCATGCAGACGGCCACATCCTGGGGGCAGGGGTGACCGGCATCGGTCAGGATGGGGGTGGGGGAGGGGGAGGGCGGGCAGAGAACATCTCTGTCTCTAACTTATGAGGGGAGGAGGTGGGGGCGGGTGGGTGGCCATCCGGAAGCCCTCCTGCTTCACTGGGGGCTGATTCACGTGCCTGCCTGCAAAGGCATCTCAGGGCAGAAAGGGACCCTGGTGCCAGCCACTTGTCAGCCCCACTGACCCCAGTGATTGCTCGTTTCTAAAATGGGTTTTCACCTGTCTTGAGTCAAAACGCCCTTCGAGAGTGCCTCCCAGATGGCACTAGTGGTAAAGAACCTGCCTGTCAAGGCAGGAGACGTAAGAGATGCGGGTTCGTTCCCCGGGTCAGGAAGAACCCCTGGAGAAGGGCATGGCAACCCACTCCAGAATTCTTGCCTGGAGAATCCCATGGACAGAGGAGCCTGGCAGGCTACAGTCTACGGGGTCGCAAGAATCGGACATGACTGAGCGATTTAGGACACACATGCACACACACGCTTTGAGAAACTGATGAATGCTCTGGCCCCCATTCCCAGAAAAATAACTACATCTTCACATGCGGGCACCCCCTCTGCCCTGACCTTCGGTTCTAGTTCAGGAGGCAGCCTGGACCTGGCTTGTTCAGATTTCTCCCTGTTGCTGACATCCTGTACGTCCCCACCCCAACCCCTGCCACACTGGTCCTCACCTCCAGGATGTTGTAGCGGTGAGGGTCACACAGGTTCCGCGTGCCGATCTCCGTGCTCATGTACCAGCCGCTGAAGGGGGCCGCGGGGAACTCCAGACCCCCAATTTCCAGCAGCATGTTGGACACGGCCGGGAGGGCATACCAGCGCAGGCCCAGGGCCGCGAACCACTCCAGTCTGGGGGTATCAGGATGTGGGATCAGCCTCTGCGGAGCCTTACCTGCCCAGTCACACCCCCCTATTTGCCCCAGCCCCTCTGTGCTCACGTGGGGTGCTCCAGGGGCACTTCAAGGACCAGCTCAGGGGGCAGAACAAAGAGCTCCGGAGCCTCATCTGGGGCCTGGAGCAGCAGGGGCAGCACGTCGAAGCGGCCATTTCCAGGGGTCCAGCCATGCTGGACACAGAGCTGCGGGGAGCGGGGTGGGAGTAGGTCTCAGGGGCTCCCTTCCTCCATTGTCTCAGTGAGGTCCCCCTGCTACACTGACCGCTCTTCCACTGGACCCTTCTGCCTCCTCCCAGAGCCCTCACTGGCTGCCTTCCCCCTTCCCCGCCTCCCCGTGCCCACCTCCGTGATCTCCGCGTTGGCCGGGTCCCCCCTTCCCCGCCTCCCCGTGCCCACCTCCGTGATCTCCGCGTTGGCCGGGTCCCCCCTTCCCCGCCTCCCCGTGCCCACCTCCGTGATCTCCGCGTTGGCCCGGTCCCCCCTTCCCCGCCTCCCCGTGCCCACCTCCGTGATCTCCGCGTTGGCCGGGTCCCCCCTTCCCCGCCTCCCCGTGCCCACCTCCGTGATCTCCGCGTTGGCCGGGTCCCCCCTTCCCCGCCTCCCCGTGCCCACCTCCGTGATCTCCGCGTTGGCCCGGTCCCCCCTTCCCCGCCTCCCCGTGCCCACCTCCGTGATCTCCGCGTTGGCCGGGTCCCCCCTTCCCCGCCTCCCCGTGCCCACCTCCGTGATCTCCGCGTTGGCCGGGTCCCCCCTTCCCCGCCTCCCCGTGCCCACCTCCGTGATCTCCGCGTTGGCCCGGTCCCCCCTTCCCCGCCTCCCCGTGCCCACCTCCGTGATCTCCACGTTGGCCGGGTCCCCGCGCACGGAGCCGTCCTGCTGCCTATAGCCCGCATAGCGCACCAGCTGGCTGTTCCAGATCCGGAAGTCTCCGCGGCCCGGGGCGCGCTGCGGGAACACTGTGATGGCCGAGCTGACACGGGGACGAGAGCTGGTCAGGGCCTGGGTGCACGGCCCTCACTGGGGCAGGGTGGGGTCTCAAGCCGACGGGGTGGGGGCCACTCACCGAAGGTTGCCACGGTTGGTGGCGTACTTGATGTGGTTGCAGATGTAGGTGAACATCTCCTGTGCTGAGCTGCAGTCCCGGGCATCGAACACCTGAGCCGGCCGAGCAGGGAGACAGGAGGGAGGCGAGGGAATGAGGAACAGCCCCGGGAGAAGGGAGGAAACTGGGGCAGGGACTGACGACCTGGCCACAGCCCTTGAAGGCTGGCAGTGCCAAGAGCTGTGATCTATGGCTCTTTCTTCTCCGGGCAGCCTCCCTGACCCTTTGGCCCCACACCGATCCTTCCTGTCCTGCACCCCACACACCCGGCATAGCCTGGCCTGTTCCTTATGCTGGCGAGGGTCTCCCCATCCCTATAGGTTAACTTGGTCCCTGGTACAGAAGAGGGACCCAGTCACTGCCAAACTGATCACTGGGGAAAGGCCGCCGACTGACTGGGAGGCCACCTGGGGTGTGGGTGGCGAGTTCCCCGTTTCTCATGGTGCTCAAGCAAAGGCGGGTGAGCCCGGCCCGTCTTCTGACCCTCCTTGGACAGACAGATGATGGGAAAGCTGCAGTAGGCGGCCTCCGGGGACCCTGCCCATCCTGGCATTCTGATGCTAGCAGGAGCCATCCTCACTGGTGGGGTGGAAGCCCCAGAGGCTGGGAGGTCTGATTCATGCTTCAGGGAGGAGGGGACTCCTCCTTCGCTGTTGGTGACAGCGGCAGGCCTAGGGTCAAGGGTGGGTCAAATACAGAATCTCTGATGGATTCAGAGCTGAGCGGGGGCTTCGACCAGCTTCACGGGTCATGCTAGCGTCAGACAGGACTGTTCTGATTTTATTCAGGACTTTCGGTATTTACAGAGCATGTGGCTTCGTTCCAAATTCTCTGGTGTCCAGTTACCGCCAAGGAGGCCAAGGTCACGGACCCAGCTCCCTCGTGGGTCAGGCTGTCCCAGTAATGCAAGCGGGCTGGTGTGAGTCATGTGGCGGGTGTGTGGAGGAGGGTGTGGGCCAGAGGCTCGGGGTGGGGGGGACGTGTGCTGGGAGAGAGCAGTGTTTGGGGTGAGGAGGCTGGGCTGGGCAAGTGGGGGCCTTTTCTGGAAGACTGTACCTGTTGCTCTGACAATACCCCCCCTCTAATCCCCCCCTGCCCCAGGGATCACTGCTCAACTGTCCTCACCTACTCATTGCATCTGTCTGAGCATCTGGCCGTTTCTCCCCACCCAGCCAGGGCACTATTGTGGCTCTTAACAACCAGCTGTTGGCTCCTGGGCTGAGGGCACTCCCGGGATACTAGTCTCTAGGGGGAACAGGCAGGGATCTCCCCACTGCTGGGACCACCCCCCTCCCCGGCCCAGGAAGCCTCAGTAGCTTGTCACACCCCTCTTTCTTCTCTTTAGCATCCCCTGGCCCCCACTCTGGGTGCTTGCTGGCCAACCACACCTGCAGCTTCCCCCACTGGATGCGGCCCACGCAGCGGGGTGCATTGCGCCAGGCCTGCTTGGCCCCGAACACCAGCTCGCTCTCCCGCAGGTGGTAGGTGCCCGTGGATGCCACCTCGGCCTCCACCTCCTGAAGGCGCTCCTCGTGAGCCTGGGAGCCGCTCCTACGGAGGAAGAGGGGAGCAGGAAGAAGTCGTTGGCAGAGGAGGACCCCCCAGGCTCGGTGAGCGTTTTGTGGAGGGGCGCGGTGTTGGCGGGAGTTGAACTCAGGCCCCCCCTCCCCTGTGTGGTATCAGGATGGGGGGCAGGCGCGGATGGGAGCCGTCCCGAAGGAAGTGTCACCCGCTTCTGGGTCTCAGCAGGACCTGAACCCTTAGGACAGGGAGGGCAGAGGGGCTCAGGGGAGGGTCTCGCCTCTTGATGGAGCTGTAGTACTGGTTGATGAAGTCCCTGGCCTGGCTCAGCAGCTGCTCAGCAGGTGGAGGTCCCTGGGAGGGCCGGGTCTGCAGTTTCCGGGGCAACACCAGGGAGCCCAGGCAGCGTCTGGGGGTGCAGGGCCCGTCCTGAATCGGTGGAGGAGAACCAAGGTCCAGACCAGATCAGGGCCTGGGGTGGGTGTGGGGCTGGGGCCTGGAGGCAGGGTCTGGGGCACCGGGAGTGCTGCGGGCTGGGGCTCCCGGCTCAGACTTTAGGAAACAGCCGGGAGGTTGGGCTGGGTTAGGGCAGCTTGAGTCCCTCAGCCCCTCCAGTTCCTCCCAGACGGGGGCCTGAGCCTCCAGTCCTTACCTGCTGGGCCTGTGCGCATAGAGTGTCGTAGGTGATGCTCCCCAGCTCCCAGTTCTTCACGCGAGGGAACTTGGGCCCCTCCGGAGGCCGGGTCAGCGTGGGGCTGCTGGGAGCTGGGCTGGGTCATGAGAGAGAGAGAAGCGCAGGACCCTTGGAGGTGTCGCAGAGACCTCTCCGGCCGCGTCAAGAGCCCCAGGTCTCATTTCTTGCCTGCCACGTGTTTTCTCACCTTTCCTCGTGGCACTCACGATGGCCTTAGGAAGCAGGCGGCATCGCCCCCCACCTCCCCGGGGGGCCCAGATGAGAGATCTGAGGCTCAGAGGACCTCAGGATTGTCCAGGGGCCTAACTGCCCCTTCTATACCCAGGCCTGCCTCACACCCGCCCTGGCTGCTCAGCCAGACCCAGAGTCGAGGGGGCTGCAGTGCTGGGATCTCGAGGCCCTAGCGCAAGTCTGGTCCTGGTCCCCGCGGCCTCCTCTGGACATCCTCCCCGAGGTTGACAGCAGCCCTTGCTGGCCTGGAGGGGGATGAGCCTGAGGAAGCCCCGGCAGGGACTCCTGGCCCAGATTTCCCTCCAGCTCACGCCCCTCCTGACAGCGGCCGCTGTGTGTGTGTGAAGGGAAGCCTAACTGGCCTTATCACTTCCTCCCAGAGTCGCCAGCCCAGCCTCAGGGAGGAAGGGAGGACCTCGGGGCTCGGAGTGCCTGGTGCTAGGGCCCCTGGCCCCTAGCCCTTCCCCGCAGAGCCGCCTGCCTGGCCTGGCACCCCACCTGGTCCTTCTTCTCCCCAGGGACCTCTGCCCTGGAGGGGGTTGGGGGGAGCGGGGTGGCCCTGCTGGGCCTGGGGCTGCTGGCTGAGTTTTGGGGTTGATGGCCAGTGGGATGAGGGGTCCGGAGCCAGGGAAAGGGGACCTAGCTGCACTGTGCTCTCAGTTCTTCCCGAGGCTCTCAGTCTCTCCCCCATGGCCTCAGTCCCTCACCCCATCTCTTCCCAGCTCCTTTCCGTTCCTGTTAAATTGTCACGGCTGTCTGTTTGAAGTCTTGTGGTCAACTAGCAACTCAGGACAACCCCGTGGGGGTAAAGGACCACTCTGTCCATATTTGATATAAACGGAGGTTCAGAGAGGTTAAGTAAGTTGTTTTGAGTCACACAGCTCTTGGCAGCCGAGCAGCCCTCAAACCCTGGCCACGCGCACCTGCTACGCTGGCCCCCTGGCCCCTAGCTTTCACCTGCTGCGTGCCGGCCCTGATTCGGGTTGATGGTCTGAGCCTCCTTGGCTATCTGTCCGCACCGAGAGCCTTTGGCATCCGCCACCTGGCCCTCCGGAGTGAGAAGCAGGCTCCAACCCTTCCCATCCCAGCCTGCAGGCCTCGATGGCTGCCCCCCAACCCCGCCACCTGTACCCCAGTCTCTGTGGCCCTCACCTGTGGTCCGGTGCATGCGGGGTGGTGGGTGCGGGGGCCCGGCTGGGCTCCGGTGCCGGGGAGGCTGGGCCCTGCTTGCCGCACAGCCCGAGGCCCAGCCCCAGCCCCAGGCCGCAGGGGGGCCCGGGCTCCTGGCCCACGCTCTTCAAGTTGCCCATGTCGCTGGGGCGCGTGGGTGGCCTCCTTCTGCTGTGTGGCTCCCAGCAGAGCCTCGGGCCTTTTCCTTAGGAAGGGGAGGGGGCGGTAGGAGGGGGCCCTCGCCCCGCCCCGGCCCTCACACACACAATGGGACAGGAACTAGCCCGGCCGGGAGGCTCCAGAGCCTCGGCTCCACGCCCGCAGGCCCGGAGGGTGGAGGGCCAGACGCCTGGGTTCCGCTCTGAGGAGGAGGGTGATAAGGGGGAACCCAGGTGTCTGGCAGAGCCCTGGGGCCAGTGTGCAGGGAGTGGGGTGTGGCGGGACAGCAGGGTGGGCTAGCCAGAGTGCCCGAAAGGCCCCCCGGGGGTGTCTGACCAGAGGGGAGGCCTTCCACCTCGCCCTTGCTGGCCTCGCTCCGAGGCGTCAGGCGGAAGGTGGGCACTGTGGCCGCAGCAGGTGACGACTAGTCCCTTGCTCTCAGTGACCGCAGGGACCGCTAGGGTCACCCCAGCGCGCTGCTTGCCCACCTTCCCCACATCTGAGCACCCCTGGACTCCTACTGTCGAGTCCTTTCAGGCTCCTGGGGATACAGGCCCAGCAAGGGGGCACTGACCCTTTGTCCTTGGGTCTGGCATTAGGGTCTTCCTTTCCCTCCTGGCCCCTGTTTCCTGGAACCCCCGCCCCACCCCGCCGCCCCCTGTGACTCAAGTTGGGGGACACAAAAGGGCAGGAAGCTGCAAACCAGGGCCTCCACCTCCCACCCTGTCATCCAGTGACGCATGCTTCCCCAGGGGGTGGGGGTGGGGGGTAGGTCAGCAGATAGACCCAGCAGTCAGGGCTGAGGCAGGGACTGCCCACTGGGGAGATCGTGGAGCCCTAGGGAAACTACAATTCCCAGAATGCAGGTGGTGTACTCAGGCACTCCTCAGGCACCACGAGCCGTAGCGCATGCTGGGGTTTGTAGTTCTAAGCCATTTAGGGGCTGGAGAAAGGCAGTAAGCTGGGGCTTCAGCATCTACAGGGGTTCCAGCCTCGTGGATCTGAGACCACGGAGACCAAGATGAACTGCGAGAAAGAAACATAAGTTGAGCGACTGAGATGGGCAGAGACTGGGAGAGGCAGACAGGCAGACAAACAAACATGTAGATTTGTGTTGGCTGAGCTCCTTCGAAAAGCAGTGGAAGATATGATGGGTGCGGGCATGGGTGGGGGGCGAGCAGGCGGACCAACCGGAAGGAACGGGCTGTGCTGCGAGCTCTGGGGTCACACCAAGAAGGTGGGGTCTGCCGGTCTGCAGGGAGGAGGGTGAGGGGGGCCCTTGTATGCCTGGACAAGCCTGACCTCCCGGGCTCCCAGAAAGCTTTGCTGCCCCTCCCTCGGCCAGGGGGCAGGTGAGATTCAGAAGTATGAGGCCTGTGTTCATCTCGGCCTGTGCCCCCCCAGGAACCCGAAGCCCTACCGCATCCCCCTCCGCTGGCCCTGGAACCCGAAGCCCCACCCCACTTGCCTCTGGAGGCCGGAGATGGGGTCCAGGCCCCTACCTCTCAGACATTCTCCCCACCATGGCCGAAGCAGACAGACCCCATTTCTGGCTCCCATGTAGTCACCATCTACAATGCACATGACTGAGAATGGCTCCTTTTTCCAGATTCCAGCTAACAGCTGTGACTGGCCTCCCCAGGGACAAAGCAGCGATGAGCCGCAGATGCTGAAGTCATTACGACCTCTCGCCTGCAGCCCTGACCACAGTCCCTCCCTGTGGACTCCTGACCTCAAGGTCTCCCCTTCCATCTGAGCTCCACACTGCCGCCAGATCCATCTCAAAGTCAGGGCTGACCTCACGCTTTGGCCCTTCCTGAAACCTTCAACCCAAGGTTGAAACACTGGCCCCGGGCCTCGATTCCCCTCATGTGCCACTTACAACCCTCTGTTCTAGACAAACAGGCTTCCACACAGGTTTCCAAACAGTCCTTGTGACCTCTTGCCCCCGGGCCCTTGCTTACGCCACCCTCTCGCCCTCTTCCTTAGTCCTCGACTAAAGAAGATCTTCCTTTTCCTTCCTCGTGGCCCAGCTGTGGCTGCCCCGGAGGCATCCTGCCCAGGGAGGACCTGAGTCAGGAAGTGCAGGTGTGATGACCTGAGACTGCGCAGCGCCCGACCCAAGACCACCTGCCCCTCCAGGGCTTCAGACGGTCCCTGGGCTCCCGAGGTACTCGGGAGCTGCCCACTCGCAGGGAGAGGGGGCGGGGGTCTCTCCAGGTCGTCTTCCTGCGGCGCTCCTGTCGGCCTGCTGAGACCATCTCAGGCCTCTCTGTGATTTGAGGCCAATCCCATCCAGTCTTCCCGCCCCTCTCCTTCCACAGATGTCAGACCTGCATCCTGTCCCTCGCCTCCCCGTTATATTTCACAGGCATGAATCCCTTTGCTTCCAATTCCTTCTGGGTGTGCTTCCTGGAGGACGCACGGCCCTGCTGCGTTTCCTCACTTCCACCAGTCCCCTTCTCCAGGCTCCCCAGGCCTTGAGAATATCTCTTGCCCTGGTTCTTCCCAGGGGTGGTTCCTGGGCAGCTTGATCTGCATCTGATTTTTCTTCCAAATGAACTTGCCGTTGCTCTGGAAGAACAGGGCAAGCGCTGCTCCTCTGGGGTCCGGCCAGGCCTGCGTCTTCTGCACCAAGTAGGTGTTTTGTGGATATTGGCTTGTGCAGCTGCAGATGCCGGCAGCCATCCCAGGGTGACAGTGATGTTCGAAAGGCAGTTGGAGAGGGGCCGCTGAGCAGGAAGTTGGCTGAGGCTCGTGGGGCTCGATGGGCAAGGTGATGGTGCCAAGAGGGGACCTTCTCTGGCCAGGGAGGCTGAGGACAGTGGAGCGCTGCTGCATGGATGGTGGGACCAGGGGCCCTGAACTGGTTTGGGCTGAGGGAGTTGGCGGGGGTTTTAGGAAGGGAGACAGAACAAGTAGAGCTAGAGAAAGTCAGAGGTGAGGCTTTACCGCAGGGGAATTTCTGTTTGGCTGCACTTCCTGGAGCTTTGGCCAGCACTGCCCCGTGTGTCCTAGCTCCCATCCAGAGACCCTGGCATGCTTGACAGTTTGACCCTCCCACCTCTGGGCTGGGGTCATTCCCATCTCTCCCCAGGCCCTGCCTTGATCTTTATCAGCCATCCCCAGTGGGCATTAAGTCTTATGCGTCTAACTGGCTGATTACTCTTCTTAGCAACTGCATTTTTTTTTTAAGTTGGGATAGAATTGCTTTACAATGTTGTGTTAGTTTCTGCCATAGAGTGAAGTGAATAAGCTATATGTATACACATATCCGGCTTCCTGTGTGACTAAGGTGGTTAAAAATCTGCCTGCAAAGGAGGAGACCTCCTGCCAATGCCCTGGATCAGGAAGATCCCCCGGAGGAGGAAATGGCAACCCACTCCAGTATTCTTGCCTGGAGAATTCCACGGACAGAGCAATCTGCTGGGATACAGTTGACGGGGTTGCAAGAGTCTGACATGACTCAGTGACTAAATCAGCACCATACACATATTCCCTCCCCGAATTCTACTCCCCCAATTCTACCATCTAGGTTAGCAATTGCATTTTATTTTTATTATTATTATTATTTTTTAGCAATTGCATTTTAAAGAGTAGTTGCTAGGCTTCTCTGGTGGTCAAGTGGTTAAGATTTTGCCCTTACACTGCAGGGGGTGTGGGTTCGATCCCTGGTCTAGGAAACCAAGATGCCACATGCTGCATGGCCAAAAAAAAAGCAATTGCCGAAAAAACAAACATTTCAAAATCTGCAGAGTTGAAGTTTCCATTGATGGGAGAGAATTTTAACTTATTTTTTCTTAGCTGCACTGCGTGGCTTTCAGAATCTTAGTTCCCTGGCCAGGGATTGAACCTGGTCCCCCTGCAGTGGAAGCGCAGAGTCCCAACCACCGGACGGCCAGGGAATTTCCAAGAATTTTCAGTTTTCAAAAAAAATTTTTTAATTGAAGGATAATTGCTTTACAGAATTTTGTTGTTTTCTGCCAAATATCAACATGAATCAGCAATATATATCAACATGAATCAGCCATTGGTTTAGTTCAGTTAGTCGCTCAGTCGTGTCTGACTCTTTGCGACCCCAAGGACTGCAACACTCCAGGCCTCCCTGTCCATCACCAACTCCCGGAGTTTACTCAAACTTATGTCCAATGAGTCAGTGATGCCATCCAATCATCTTATCCTCTGTCGTCCCCTTCTCCTCCCACCTTCAATCTTTCCCAGCATCAGGGTCTTTTCCAATAAGTCAGTTCTTCGCATCAGGTGGCCAAAGTATTGGAGTTTCAGCTTCAGCATCAGTCTTTCCAAGGAATATTCAGGACTGATTTCCTTTAGGATGGACTGCTTGAATCTCCTTGCAGTCCAAGGGACTCTCAAGAGTCTTCTCCAACACCACAGTTCAAAAGCATCAATTCTTCGGCGCTCAGCTTTCTTTATAGTCCAACTCTCACATCCATACGTGACTACTGGAAAAACCATAGCTTTGAGTAGATGGCCCTTTGTTGGCAAAATGATGTCTCTGCTTTTGAATATGCTGTCTAGGTTGGTCATAGCTTTTCTTCCAAGGAGCAAGCAGTATGTCAGCATGAATCAGCCTCGTCTCCTTCCTCTTGAACCTCCCTCCCATCTCCCCCCAACCCCAGCCCTCTAGGTTGTTACAGAGCCCCTGCTTGGGTTCTCTGAGTCAAAGGGCAAATTCCCACTGGCCCTCTTAACTTAACTGGGATTTCAAGCAGGAATGAACTTTGGAGAGGATAAGTTGGGGATCCCCAGCCCTGACAGTGACTGTGTTTTCTGCCCCTGGGGATGCCAGCCCCCAGCCCCCAGCCCCCAGCCCCCATCAGTCCTGATCCGTAATGGTGAGAGACCCTCTGGTGGGTGAGTCAGCCAGGCCCTTGGTGCCCCCTGGTCCCTCAGAAGGCAACCCACCTTACTCCTGCCTTCTCCCTTAGAGCAGGAAGCCCTGCAGGGCTGGGGGTGGGGG